GATAATGCAGTGATATTCCTTGGAAAACAATAAGAATTCACCCTCCACATTACTAAAGCATGATTCCATATGTAAAATCTCACACGAAGAATAGTTGTTACATGAAAATAGTAGTCTTCTTGCATATGTTACCTTCTACTTTGCACATGTAGTGCCCATTAGCTTTTAATAGGCTTGAAAAAATTTTTTATAATATATGAAACGTAAAAATGTGTTTAATCTATAAGTAAACATACTGAAGGTTATCAAATTTAGTGCTAAATTAAAGGCGGGTGTATAATAGGATTTACATGAGATAAGTAAATATGAAAGGTACTAACCAATGTTCTTTAAACGTCTTAAACTGATATGAAAAGCATTTACCTCATATCAGTTTAAGACATATAAAGAACAATGTACGAGGTCAAAAAAATTCATAATATACCTATACAGCGATTAAGTTTTTATAGGAGCAGGAAACATAAAGAAACAACAAATGCCCACTCCGGGATTCGAACTCAGATCTCTCGCTTGTCTAGCTGTCGTGTTTCAAGGAAGAACGGGATAAAGAAGGAGAAAATTCCTCACATTCTTCTGCACTTAAAGGGCGATTTCTTGAGGAGGAGAGGCCAGTCACCAAATCCAGGTTGGGACAAATTATTGTCAATCTCATTTTAATTCGGGCGTCACTTGGAAAGACATCTAGAAGTTTCGGAGCGGGGTACATGAGAAAACAAGCTATACCCTCTCCTGTATTCGAACTCCGAAGCTCCTGATTTAGCCGGACAAGCTTCTAATTACACAACGAAGGCACGGAGTAAGGAAGAAGAAAATTCCTTACATATCTTCTGTGAATAATATCTTGGGCACTTTAATTATCATATGTGCTTTTTATCCGAAATATGGACATCAGATGGTAATCTAAAGTTTATAAAAAATACGACTATGAAGATTCCATAACAGGATTTGCGATTTTGCTTTCTCAGATGTTTATTGACGTTATCTACTTACATGTTACACAAAAATTCAGTCTTAAACACTTGCCGTCCGTCTGTATAAAATTATAGTCTTTTATGAGAGCATTATTTTTACGATTTGCAGACTTTTTTTTTTTAAATAGATAACTTTACAACACATTCTTTTCCATTCTTCATAGATCGTTACAGCTTAATCTTTTCCATTGTTCTCAGTCTTTAATTTCAAGTAAAGATGTCAAATTCATTTAATCTTTTTTCAGTAACCATATGTTGAGAATTACCATTACGTTTTCTGTATTAATGTTGTAGAATTCTATAGCAGAAATTTTGACTTCGTAAATACCGTAATATAATCTTTAACGTTTTAAGTAGATGGTATTGCCAGTGCTTTTTGATTCACAGAATTTCTAGTTTTAAGGGAGGAGACCTAGCAAACTTTTAAATAAGTCTTGCTCGAAAGACAACATTATACTTTTACTTCCCAGCATCAGTTGATTCGCTCTTCTTTCAGCGTGAGTCTTGCTCGAAAGACAACATTATACTTTTGCTTCCTAGCGCCAGTTGTTTCACTATTCTTTCACCGTAACCAAATTCAACGAAAACTAGTAAATAACACAATGATATGACGCAATTTATGCTTATTTATGCTATATAATGACTGCTTATTCTAAAATGCAATCGTATAGTATCCTAACGGAATATTTTTAAATTGTAGTACAAAAATATATTTTCTGTTCATACCTTCTTTTTTGTAATCAAATAACTGTCTTCTCAGAAACACACAGTTCTTAAAAAATTCATAGTTATTGTTCATAGTTCTTAAAAAGTTTCCATTTATTAAAGTATTTATTTAGTTTCCATTTTTAAATGTCATTTGTCATTTTCAAAATTGAATGCTTCTTTACTGTGCATGATTGTAAAAAATGATTTATCGTCTTCTCTCCTAGCCTATTTATCGTCTTATCTATCTAGCCTTGGTTTGACTTGCCACAAATTAAGTTTATTGCTGTGTAAATTTTATAATTTAATTATAACTTTACACTATGTTGCCCCTAAATTCTTCTTTAAATACTACCGAACTGTGAAGTTATAGAATCATTTGACTACCAGTAAAATGCGAAAGCAAAAGCAACACCTGAAGTAACGCGGTTTGATTGCTCTTTCATATCTTAAAACGGCACTGTAATAAATGCGCCTATGAGTTTTTGAGTGGAATTTGATCTGTTTTGGAGAAGTTTGTCAGTCCTAAATTAATTTCTAACCCCGAATAATGAAATAAACGTTTTTGCTAGGCATTTAGGCAACATTTGAGACATCATGCATTGGATTTAGCAAGAAGTTCAAAGACCTTACACACGCTCGCAAGCACACATAAAACACATTCTGACAGAGAAAAAGAAAGGGAAAAAATACAAGGAGGGAGAAAAAAAGGAGGAAATGATACTTCTTCAACAGCTGTGTGACAGTAGGGTACCATTTTATTCATTTATCCCAAACTGGGCGAATGAGATAATGTTTCTTTTCGTCGGAGCAAACTTTCAGACGGAGGAGTTTTCGTTTATTTGTTTTCCTCCTTAAAAACGAACAACTTGGTAAAATGGAAATAAGCATAACTTTAAAGAGAAATATCATATATTTATATGGAAACAAAGAGTCGCAAGTTCGTCCTATCTTTAATTGTGACACAGAAAAGAGAAAAAAGATCTCTAGATCTCAGTCAGTATATATAACATTCCAGGTCAATGGAACATAACTAGCAAAACAAATTTTCATCTGCTTACTAAATATATTTTTACAAACACAGAATTCTCTAAGCTGAGACGTTAAATTCACATTTTTTGGCTTTGAAGCGAAACGTCTCACAGCCACAATGTGAGGTTACGTTTAACGTATTCTTCAAAATATCCATAATAATATACAGTGAAGGCAAGATCTTATGCTTATTTTAGCACATCCAAAGTTATCAAAGCTATTCATTAATTTTTGCTAAAACTTCAGGGAAAATTAAACCAAGTGAAGTGCTTTCTAGTACGTATTTATCTCACTGAAGAAATTAAGATACAGAGCCTTTAAATTTTATATTGAATTATTTTACTATAATTGTAATTTCATGAACTCTTAAGCGAAAAACTGAATAATTTCATCATGCACATCAAAAAATTTGAGGATAAAAATAACGATTCTCTGACATATTTATATAATCTCAAGCGAAATTATATTTTCACTCGAGGATTTAAAAAACTCATGTATAAAGAGTAACATTTCCCCCTACAGAATTAGTTTTTCTTCTATGTTAAACACTTTTATAATTTAAAAGGAAGCATTTATGTTGAAACATACTAAAGAACAATGCATTTTACTTTCTAATTTTCTTTTTCTTTTTATGCAATATTATAAATCATTTTAATTCAGAGCGAACAAAGGCAGCTTAAAAATATTTCGCTTAATTTATTTGAGCAACTGAACTATAATTGTGTTATTCTCATATTGCTCAAAGATATCCAGGAATGTTATCACCTGTTATAAAAAAATTGTATTTATCAAAACGAAGAAAATTAATACTTAATGTAAATTGTGTAAATTATACCATCCGTTCAGTTGAAAAAAAAAAAAAAAAAGAAAGAAAGAAAGAAAGAAAGAAATATGTCACAGGAATTGCAGATTAAATTCGATTTTCAATTAAATTTAAAAATAAGGCCATGAATCGTAATGTACGGTTAGTAGTTATAAACTTCTTAAATTTAAAAAAAAAAAGCCGCGAACCATAACGTAAGATCAACAGTTATAAATTTCTCGAAGTGGATGAATCATTTTTACACCTTCTGCGTCAGTATTTGAAAAAGCGTACTTTTCAAGTACTAACGCAGAAGTTTGGGAGTTCGAATCCCGGCAAGGGCATTTCGGATTTATTCGGTTTTCTGTCTTCGAAAAATCATAAATGACTTCTAAAATAGCGCCCGAATTAAAATATGGTGAACGATAATTCGTTACCACCAGGATCTCGCGACTGGGTCCCGACTGCCTAGTCCCTCTTTAAGTGGGGGAGAATGCAAGGTGTATTTCTGCCTCTACCGCATGCCTTCGACGTATAATTGGGAAGTATGTCCGGTTAGTAGTCGGAAGGTCTGAAGTTCGAGTCCCGGCTACGGCGCAGTTGATTATCTCATCTTTCCTGCCCAAAAACATTCTAAATGACTCTGCAAGCTAAATTAAAAACACGAAATTTATTTTACGCTTATCAGATGACTTTATATTCTTTTCATCAGTGAATATGCTTTACATTAGTGAAACATTTTCTTTATAATACAGTAATCACGTGTACTCACTCTTAATTTTACTTCGGAAAGAGGCACACTAGTAAAATTCATCAATGATTTGTCATCGTTCCACTTTACCGTATAGCAAACACAGTTCTAGTGGTCTTTGTTGTAAAGTGTAGCTAAATTGTTTTTGACTTCGAAAATGAAATTTGATTTATGGCACTAGTTTTAGGAGCTTCTCATATATGATACAGCAACTGAAAATGCGTTGCGAGCTCCTTAAAACATGCTACCTGGTAATGTGAACAACCTGACGCATTTAACGGAATATACAATCATTTAATAGACTGTTCATCATCCACTAGCAGACGCAGAAAGTTTCCCAGTTTTACTTTCCAAGCAGCCGGTAGTCAAAAGTAATGCTCTTTAAAATACCTCTCTTCTGTGATGCAGATGTTCAAAATTATTTAATTGCATAATAGATTCATTGCTCAATATCTACGTCAGTTGTCCCGGTCATTGCTCATTACGACGAAATGACCAATGAATTTAGTGGAATGAAACTGTCCTACATGGAACTGAAATTACTTTAATCCGGAAATGCCGCTATTTTTTAATATAATGGATAAATATTACATTAATGATAAACTTAAATGACAATCCCAATTAGCACCCCTCGAAGTGACACGCAGCATCCGGGGACTCGTTCCTACCAGTTCTAACCGGATCCAGAAATGGGGAGGGATGTCAGTCCCTTTAACTACGGGGTTAGTTTCTCAGTTCTTCTCAGACAATTGGGGGAGCAAGCTAAGGAAGGAGCTTCGTGAGGAGTAATGGAAACAGGTTCCATCTTTTATCAATGAGGTCGAGGGGCTGCTAAGAATTCATCAAATTCAATACATAACAAGACTGCTGTATCCAGGAATCCCTTATGTAACTGCCATATTAAAATTTCTTAAGTTTAATTTTTCAAACCAAACCAAATATTTTATTTGGTATATACCTGCAAAGTACGTATACTGAGAAGTGGTAAGTAGCCATTTATATGTATATTGATTTTATGCATTTAATACCAGAATTAAAGCAAAAATCTATTTGCATGATAAATGAAAAACCTGAACTTCTAATTTTGTACGAGGAGTGAAGATGCATGGAAGTTTCAGAGCCGTAATTGCACATATAAATATGATGCTCCAAGGATTTCTAGGCACCTGAACTGTTCGTACATAGTCAAAAATATTAGTTAAGTGTTCGCTGCCCCCCTTTTCTTATTGAGTGCCTTAAAGAATATCTTTATTATTTCCGTAAGATCATTATAATAGATAACCTAAAATTCTAACGATTGTGTTTTAAAGCATTCCAAAATTATGTTTATTAGCTTCTCCATAATATATGGAATAATTTAAACTGAATCTGAAAAATGTATATTTATAAATGAATTTGTATGTCCCTATAAATATGCACGTACATACTGAAAGTAAAATTTTAGGAAAAGCATAAAATTAAATCCTCTTCTGTACTCACAGCTAGAGTATGTATTTGAAATTACATCATCATTTTACAGAAAAAAGAAAAAATAAATAAAATGACTGAAAAAAAAGTATGCTGTAAAATAATGACCTAGTTTCAGATTCTTGCTGCTGTGGGGAAGATTTGATTTTACCCTTTTCCTAAAAATTTGTGAATATATAGAAACTAGATTCTAAATATTAAAATATATAGAAAAAAAGTAATTTAATTTTATCCATTTTGTAAATATTTTACTTTTAGCATATTATTATCCAGCAGCTATATGCGAGCTTTTTTAAACAGAAATTTTTTATTTTTCTTTCCTCTCAGATGAGTTTTGGTTTATATGTGCATGTAAAAATTCCTTTTAAATGAAAAAAAAAATCAACCGTTTCTTAATGTTATTACCCTTTTCCTAAAAATTTGTGAATATATAGAAACTAGATTCTAAATATTAAAATATATAGAAAAAAAGTAATTTAATTTTATCCATTTTGTAAATATTTTACTTTTAGCATATTATTAATCCAGCAGCTATATGCGAGCTTTAAACAGAAATTTTTTATTTTTCTTTCCTCTCAGATGAGTTTTGGTTTATATGTGCATGTAAAAATTCCTTTTAAATGAAAAAAAAAAAAAATCAACCGTTTCTTATTGTTATTATTACCATATAATGAAATTTCTGTTATTATTATCATTATTATTATATAGCGAAATTTCATAAAAACCTGATATAAGATAATAAGGTAATAAAATATTCATATTTGCTTAAATCTTTGAAATATATTAAAAATATAATTCGAAACTACTGTGGGACACAAAGTTTAATGAAAATTATATTTAAAAAAGGATTTTCCTTCTAACACACGCAGAGAGGGGCAGCTCCAAAAGTATAAGGTAATAAAATATTCCGCTATTTTTCGTTGGAGACAAGAAAGAAGACAACGCAAAATTTCAATTGTTCCCTGTTCGGAAACAAACTTTACTCCAGTATTTTTTTTTTTTTTTTTAATTCGATGCTTGAACTATCACTTCCATTCATTTCCTTTGGCGAGTTCGCTGATCTTCGCCAAAGAGTTAATACTTGCGGGGCTTTAAGTGCTCTTTCTCATCTCAGTGTGTTGAACTTTATTTACTCAAAAACTGACATATTGTGAGAGAGCATTTTATGTGCGCATTTTATCTTTCCGCTTATATTGGAAATTTATCTTCAAAATTGTCATCTGTAGGAAATTATTTAAAAAAAAACACTGGGATACAGGGAAGGACTTTATTCTGAATGATATTCAGACTATTACCTATGCACGTTTTCTAAATAATGAGGGACCAGCTTTCACCAGCAAGAAAGCTTATTAGTTCTTACAAGTGTAAAATATCCTGCAATGTCAAATATGAAAGAATACATACAATCGAATATTCTGAAGTAGGCCGTCAATTACGTGCTAATCAAGTGTCAGTAGTAGAAGAATTTAGCAGTTTTCTGCATTTTATTTTTCTAATACTCGACAACTCTTTTTCAAATAAAACTAGCATCATCCAACTATGTGTATTTCATTTATACACATAGGAAAGAGAGGCCTAGTACTAAAACGTTTTTTGATTTGAAGTATAATTTAAATATTTCTGTGTATCGGAAATACCGGATGAAATAGAGCGATAATTCCTGTTTGGAATTGTTCTTCCTTTTCAAAGATTCACATTTTTTGTGCATAAAGATGTACGTAGGGTCATCATGCTAGAAAAATCCTGTCTTAAATGACGAAAGCATCAATTTATTTCAAGACATAAAAGATAAGCAAAATGAAAAAAAAAAAAAAAAAAAAAACATTGTCATACATTTCATTCTGTGAAATAGACATAGCCAAGAAGTGTAAAATTGCAGATAAATTTACGAAATCTGCATTTTGTTTGTCGTTTTATCCGCTGAAATTGAAATATATCAAATAAAGTAAGAACTTTACTGTAATAAAAGTATGTTCAAGAGAACCCATTAAATAAGATTAGTAACAGCTGCTTAATAGCATTAGTCCCCTCTTAATCAGAAATTTTTACACTGCCCTCGCCGTCACCCCATCTGTATTTGAACTTGTTGGACAGGTAGCATTTTTTTTTTTTTTTCCCCTCTCAATACTTATTCAAAGTTATTTCGCTCTCAGGACGATTCCTTCTTTCATTCTACTGATTTTTGCTTGTATCCGGAAGGAGCACTGTATTTTTATCACCCAATATTACAGCGACCAAAGAATTAAGCAACCAAAGAATCAGCCTAATTGTGGTACTTATTTAAGCTAAATTTTTCAGCAAGATAAATAATTTTTTAGGACAAAATGTTCAACGGCTATATACCTTGCAAGGAATCATTCATGAAGGATTTTCTTAGCGAAACTGATCCATATTCATATTACATATAAAAGAAATCACAAATAGCTCATTGCTTCCAGCCCATTTTAGCTGCCAAAATTCATGTCACAAGAGCTACCAGTACTTCCTGGCCACTTTTAAGAAAAATTGCTCAGCTGACACAAATAATAAAATTAGCACGGGGACTATTTGGACCGAATGCATGCTGTCTTAATTTACTTTTAAATTTGGAAGGACCATACACGGTACAGTTTCTTAGAATTTCTTTGACCGCTTTATGTCGGTATATTTAATATGGTCATTTCTTGTTTCTTTAAATGCTTTTTAAGCAAGGACGATCAGTAGTAGATTTGCTAGGAATATATATTAATATACAGCTTCGAAAGCATTTATTAAATCATAACTTATTGTAGTTGAATATAATTATCTATCAGTTTCTTATCTTTCTGTCTATTCATTTATGAGTTTAAACCCGATAAAACTATCATAAACACTTTTGTGCCATATCGAGCTAATAAAGTTCAGTATTATATTGAAGTTTTCGCAATGTAACAAATTTTTGAATTGAATTTTATCTATCAGTTTCTTATCTTTCTGTCTATTTATGAGTTTAAGCCCCGATATAACTATCATGAACACTTCTGTGCCATGTTGGGCTAATAAACTTCAGTATTATATTGAAGTTTTCGCAATTTAACAAACTTTTGAATTGAATTTTTTTTCCCATCTGAATAAGGATAAAATTTGCTTTAACACTTATTTTATGAAAAATGATTAGTTTAATAATAAACTAATCATTTTTCTATGATTGATTATTTTTAATATATTGCTTATTTTAAAAGGATTACAGCTAAAGCAGTTTTTAACACTCATTCAGTTATTCAGGTTTGGGAAAATATAATAAAAAATGTACAGAAGGCCGGTGAAATACTTTGCCACCATGTTTAAAGAGAGGTACAATGTAAACACACATAAAATAATTTTGAGAGTACCGGGCAGTGAAAAATTCGAAAAAAAAAAAAAAAAAAAAAAAAAAAAAAAAAACAATTCGGGCTGGTCTTTGGACTCTATATCTATTTAGGTAAAAATAACACACCAAACAAATATTAACTTAAAAGTCAAACAATAACGTTGATTGAGACTGAAAAATTGATTAACGCTGATTGAGCGCGATTGTAATTGAGCGCGAAAATCAAGAACATTTAAATTCTCAAGCTTAAATATGCTGGAATTTCTTGTACTTTTATTCCAGAGCCAGGGCATATTTCAGAGCTAGGTAATTAACAAAACGCATTTAAAAAGACACACTGCATAAAATAAGAACAGTGAATTCCAGCACAATAAACAAAACTTTGCTGATAATTAAGAACCTGTTGATAAGTGAAAGGTGAACTTTACAATAGACGAAAGATATTGTAAGATAGGATAGCAAAGGAGAAAATTTTTATTCTTTTAGATTTAAGGGAAGAGCTGCAGCATGGCAGTTAGCCAAATTGAGTGTTTGCCAAACATTAAAATACTCTAGTTACAGGCCTTTCATTATATCTAGTAGATGCAACAATAGCATTTGAAGTCTACTGAACATTTGAAATTCTAAGATGTAATCTGAAGATAGGAAAATTATTGTTTCAATTGAGCAGTGATCCATAGATCCACAGAACGCATGCTTTAAACGTCTTTTACTTGAAATAATTTGACAATAATTTAAATAAATTTGCTTGAAAATTTTATGAATCTCTTCAGCATCTAAATCTTGTTTTTAATCTTTATTCCTAACTCATTTTCATATGAAAAGTTACATCATTCATAAAGTTAAAGGAACACTGCATTCCTTCCCGCAGTTATGATTTGCAGTGCAGGAAAAGGGCTGAAAGTATAGTAAGTGTAGATAAAGGATCGGATGTGAAAGAAAATAAACAAAATCATTTCATAATATAAAAGGGTATTTATAATTAATCTCGGTCTTTAATTCATCCTCTTAACTTTTTCTTTCTTTCTCGCTTAATTTTCCTTTATACATGAGCTACTTTAAATTGGAAAACGCACTGTAGATAGTAGGCAAAGTGTGAATATGCTAGAACATTTAAAGGAAGGAGGGTGCATTACGTCAGATTTCCCCACCCATTCTTTTCGGGAGGAAGGCAAAGCTCCCACGAGTA